TAATATTTTTAGGCATATTATTGATTTATTTTTGGCACAGTTATGAAAACATATGCTTTCTGTATATGTATATTTGTGTGGACCAATACTATCAGTTTTAATTAAAGTCCAATAATTGGAAAGTTATATTAATTGGAATGTGGATTGCACTTCAGTTCATCCATTTCTCTGTCTCAGAAATTGTTACTAACCAAATTAATATTTTTAAAAATATCACAGAGAAAATATATGATCTAATTAAGAGGACATATTGTTTCAAAGGATTTAAATATGTTTATGTACAAATGGCAAGCCATCGATTGTAACTTACTGATATAGGGCCCTTTCTTTTTTTAGGATTAAAATACTTTTTTTGCAGGGATTAATTAGGGTAAATATATGTGTTGGTTTTTTTTTTTTTTCAAAATTTCATTGTCAGATACTTCACTAATATGGTAGACTTGCTGTGTTCTCCTTATTGAATCATAAAATCATAGAAATTTAAAGCAAGGAGAAGCTTTAGAAGTCATATTACCTAATCTTCTCATTTTAGACATATGTAAACTGAGGCCCAGAGAGGGTAAATGACTATTAAAATCAATTAAACAATAAACATTTATTAAGCATCTACCATGTGCCAGGCAGTGTTAGCACTGGGGATACAAAAAGAAGCAAAAGATAGTCTCTATTCTGAAAGAGCTTACAATCTAATAGGGAGACAACATGCAGACAAATCCATACAATAGGATAATTAGGGAAGACTTTAGAGGTGTTAGGGAAGGCTTCCTGTAGAAGGTGGGATTTTAGTTGGGACTTAAAGGAAGCCAGGGAGTTCAGTAGCTGGAGCAGAGAAGGTAAAGCATTCGAGGCAGAGGAAACAGGCGAGCTTAAAAGCCCAGAGCAGAGAGATAGAAGAAGTGTCTTGTTTGTGGAACAACCAGGAAGCAGCATCACTGGATCAAGACATATGTATTAGGGCGTAAGATGTGAGAGGACTGGAAAGGTGGGAGTAGGGGGGTCCCTAGGTTATGAAAGGTTTTGAATGGCAGAGTGTTTTGTATTTGATCTTGGAGGGCCATAGGGAGCCACTAGAGCATATTGAGTCTGGGGCAGGGGTGGGAAACCTGTGGCCTTGAGGGGATATTAGAATTCTTGAACATGGAGATGGTACATTTGTGGGTGATGGCAAGATCAAGGGTATGCCCATCTTTGTGTGTGGCTGAGGTGGGGTGGAGGAGTAGCTCATGAGAGGTGAGTAGGTCAAGTAACTTTGAATAGTTAGGGCATTTGAAAGAAAATCAATATGTATATGAGGGGAAGAGAAAAAAAGTATAAGTCAGATACCAGGCTCCTTGAGGAAGTACAGGGAATGACTGGGGGGAAAGAGGGGTGTCTATAGGCAACAGCTACCAGGAATTTGATTGGGTGGTAGATATCAATAGCATGAACCTCAAAGGAGGATTGGTTACTGAATAATGGAGGAAGGGCGAGAACCTGGAAGTGGCAGCGGAGAACAAGGAGTATTTCAACTTTACCTGCCTTGACCAGTGAGCTGAGAATGAGTGAAAGTGAAGCCAGTACTAAGAAACTATGTCATGGGGGAAAGTGGGATTACAGTCAGAGCTTATGGACTGAAGGAGTGGGAGAGGAATAGATTTAAGATGAAGTGAAGCTTGATGCCTGTGGAATAGGCATTCCAGAAGGCATACTAGAAGGCTGGGTGGAGTTAGGTTGAAACTTTGTGATAGGGGTGCTGAAGGGGATGAGAATGAGGAATTGTTTGGAATGGGTTTTGGATGATGGTCTACAAGAGTTGAGAGCCCCTGGGATGGGAATGTTCATTACTGAGCGGAGAGCCACTACCCTCAAATTTACGGGCCAGGAAGGAGGTGAGAGGCCTGAAGTCAGAGGGAGGGTTGCTCTTGGCACTGGAAGGGCTGGCAGTAGGAAGTATGCCTGTTGCCTCTTGAATTAGTCTTTGCAATATTTTCGAATATCAAATTGAACCCACACACTACAATGGATTGTACTGGATTGAGAGTCAGAAAATCCTGGATTCAAGGCCTGTGTCTGACGTTGAGTAGTTATGTGATGATGGAAAATTCATTTAATATTTCTGAGCATCAGTATCTCCATTTCTGAAATGGGAATCATAAGATAGCACAGAGTTATTTTGAGGTTCATATGAGACAGTATATGTATTTTCAGACTTTAAATTCCTTTGTAAATATCACTTATTATTATACATCTTTGTGATTGGCCTTATAACTTTCAGATATGGTACTTTTTATTGTAAGGTGTATACAAAGAAATATACTATGATTTATGATTTCTGTTGTAGCTTTACTGATTTTTTTAGTGTCTCTTCGATGACCTGAGGCAAATTGTTTAACCTCACTTCACCTGTTTCCAAATCTGTAAATTTCCTAATCTGTAAAATTAATGTTTTTGACTCAGTGACCTCTAAGGTCCCTTCACCATTCTCTGTAAACCTGTGACCTGATGCCTTATCTTCATACTGCTCTCTAGAACATGTCCACATGTCAGCTGTTTTCCAGTTGAAAGACAATGATTGATTGAGTTTATAGTTTGAACTCGTTCTTATTAGCAAATCTAGGCTTTTGGCTTCCACTCTTTTTTAAGCTCTAAATTTTAAGTGGAATTTTCTGCATATAACTGTGATATGGGGTAATAATTCATCTTATTTGGTGACCAGCCAACTGTTAATGTTTATTTAAGATAAATAACCTGCCTTGGATAGGAGAGGAGGGAGGAATATATTCAGAAATCAAAGTGATTTTAAAACAAAAGATACCAGTAAAATTTTAGAAATAAATGAACTGAAAAGATTACCTTGAGGCAGAAAGAAAAGAGAGCAGAAGCCAACCAATTATCCCAATTGCTGTTTCTTTGTCTAATATTTTGATCTACCACCAGTAATCTGTCCAAAGAAGAAATTCAGGCACAGTGACTATTGTATCCCCAAAAAGTAAAAGGACAATCCTTTAGTCACTGAATCTTAGGATATAGGAATCAAAACCAATGATGTGCCAGAAGTATAAGGAAAAAACAAAATAGTGTATAAGAAGACATGGGTCAAATATACAAAGATATGAAAGAAGCAGAGACATTAACAAAACTCAGAAGTGTTATGGCATTTGTGCTTGCCCTTGGAATAGGATAGCAAGGTTATAGTGTGGCAAAGCCTATGAGGTGACAAGTCACCTGGGAAAAGGATATCAGAACAGCTAAGCCACAGAACAAGTGGCGAATCTCAGGAAAAAGCTGTAGGGGAACCAGTGGTGGCTACATTAAACGGATAAGGAATGGTGCCAGAGAAGGCAAGATGGAAGAAAATCTGACACTTGTAGTCAATATCCTAAGGCACATGAAAACATGGTTCTAGGGGTGGGCAATGAAACTAACTTCTAGAAAATGCAAGAACACACAAACACATCAAATCACTCAGAAGGCCGATACTAACAAAGATCATGTTAATATTGTCAACAGTAGAACAAAGAAATTAATTAATAGTTAAGGATATTGCTGCCCTCATCTAGGAATTTCTTTCATCTGCTACTTCCTCCAGTTCCTCCTAATTCATTTGCTTTTTAGAAAATGAATGAAATATGTTTTTTGCTTATTTTTGAAATTCCTTTCCCCCAACTTTCTAAGCAAAAACATTTGGAGAAAGGGTCCAAAGAATGAAATAGATCCCAGTTATTTGGTTCCCAATTCTTACTCTCTTCCTTCATGAGAAGATGGCTATATGCCAATTGAATCTTCAATGTATAATTCTTTTCATCAGTCATAGGTTGAGGAAGTATTTTTAAGGGTTTCACACCCTTAAGATTTATTTACATCTTTTTTGTCTACATGAGCCAACCCATTTGACTTTTAAGATTTTTAAGTATTGCCAAAGATAGTGATGGAGGAGGGAAAGCTGTATGTTTCTGTGACATAATTGATGCTTAATAAATATTTGTTCACTGGTTAGATTGATTATGATAACAGAAATTCCATAGGCCCAAAATTGAAAAGTTACATAGAGGAAATGGCATTCAGTCCCCTCACCCCCTTTTTAAAAGTATAATTGAGTTCATTGTCAATTGAGTTATGATTTTAAAACTAATTGCGGTCGCTTCCAATTTAAGTTAAGGGTGTTCAGGAATGGGCTGCCTCTGACATGCTGGCTTTGTAACTGTGGGCAAGTCACTTAATATTTTGGGGTCTCCAGGAACCTCCTTAAGACTGTACATTTCAGAACAGTTGTGCATCTACTTTGTTAGAGAGGGTTTATTCACAGAGAACTCTATGGAATCACAAGTCCTGACTTCCCTTCCTTCCCCCAAAACAAAAACAACCTACTCTTCCATCTAGGAACTTAAAAAGAAAGTTTTTATCATATATCAACATCTTACAACTTGTTCTTCAAAATGCTTTTTCCTGTAATATAACTTAATTTTTCTCTAAATGATTTACATGTGATCCAAATTCTTGCTATATTTCCCAGAAATATTTTGTTTCTCCCTTTTCTTTTTTAGGGCAGTTGGGGTTAAGTGACTTGCCCAGGGTCACATAGCTAGTAAGTGTCAAGTGTTTGGTCTGACACCAGATATGAACCCAGGTCCTCTTGACTTCAGGGCCACTGCTCTATCCACTGCACCACCTAGATGCCCCTTCCAGAAATATTTTGCATAAGTTCATAGTTTAAAAGAAAAAAGTATTAGTAACACCTTGTCTCCAAGGTGACAAGCCTAAAACTTCATTACCTTCCATATTTGATGCCATTTATTTGAGAGAGAAATTGCACATAATTCTTAGATTAATCGTCTTTGTTTCTTTAAAGCCAAGTTGGCAAAATAAATATGTATAAAGTAAACTTAAGTTCACCTTTAAAAGGTTATCATGATGCTTTATATACATTAGTCTCTCAATATATGTTTTATTGATGGAGATGCCACTGTTAATCCTTATTCTTTTCACCTCATGTCTTTTCTCCCTGTTTCCATACTTCCCAGTGATATGTCCTCCGAGTCGGATAACAACATCAGACAGATAAATCAAGAGGCTGCACACAGACGTTTCCGCTCCCGGCGACATATTAGTGAAGATTTAGAACCTGAGCCTGCAGAAGGTGGAGATGTCTCTGAAGTATGTAGTGCCCCTCCTGACATCTTTCATCAACTTTGTGTTTTCCACTTTTGGTGTCTTAAGGGTGGTTTTATGTTTTACACGTTTTCAGTAAAATTTGTTCGTAAATCCAAGATAAAATCCTCATAGCCAGTTGATCGCTCATGTGGTTATTAATGTTAGTAATCCAGAATTACACACTTTTATGACCTTTGTCTGACATATATGTGTTGGTGCAGTTGTTATAAAAGGGAATGATTTTCTACAACATTCATACAAAGAAAGCACAAATCTAGAGATATTTTCAGTTTTTGGTGGTATTTTTCTCAAAGTCTAGGACAATTCACCTCTTTTTAGTCAATTTAAATAAAAACATACTTTTCACTTTTGGGAGACTGAAGTTGCCAACATGAAGTAGAATGGAGACATAGATTTCTTATTCAGCTGTTTGTAATATCTTGGGAAATTTTTGTCAACAATAAATACAGTGGTTGGCCATCACTTATTTATATAACTTTATAGTTTATCTTAATGATACCTGCACCTGGAACATGTTAATTAAAAGTTAGTGACGATAAATATATGATACATTTCAGCCAAGAGCCTCTATTCTCTGTTGTCAGTTGTTTACATTATAGACAGCTACATTATTTTTAGGCATTTGCTACTTCAAAAGATGTTTTAATAAAAAGAAGAGCCAACACTTTATTAACTTAATGAGATATGTTCTTGTTTACCCTATTAATGCTTCTGTAAATATTAATATTGCTGAAGGCAGAGCTGCTAAATTTTTCTAAATATTTATGAAAAAAGTTATAGCTTTCTGAGCCATTTACTTGATCTCTTTATTTTTAAATTTGGAAATGAAAGAATTCCTTAAATTGTTCATTTCTTTTGCCAACTGCCTATGGAGTTTTCATTCAAATGATAAAATGATTCCTCTGTTACTTCAGGTTTTAAGTGGATTCTGTACTGAGGATTTTCCCCCTCAGTACTAGTATATTATGGTTAATTCAGTAAATCACCTTATAATCAAGACCTCTTAGGATTTAAAATCAATGGGGAAATAGCACAAACCAAAATCCCATCTCTAGCATTTACGATAATTTCTCATTTCTTATAAGCCTTGGGAAACCATTTCAGAGGAAGTGAATATAACCGGAGACTCTCTTAGTCTGGTCTTACCACCACCTCCTGCTTCTCCAGTATCTCGGACCAGTCCTCAAGAACTGTCAGAGGAATTGAACAGAAGACTTCAGATCACTCCGGATTCCAATGGGGAACAATTCAGTTCTTTGATTGTAAGCAGTAGTATTTATGGAAACAGAGATGGAACACATTTTTTATTTTTGCAGTTGGTTGTTTTGACTAGGTAAAACTGTGTATGTGTGACTATTTTAGACTTTAGCAATTAAATAATAGCCAGATTTCCCTATCACTAGCATTAATCTGCTGTTTGCCCAAGTTAACCTTCCTGTATGAGGGTCAGGAGCAAACTTAAATTCTTTCAGTCTTATTTCTTCACCCTTCCCTCGCCAATTAGATCTTAATAATTAAATTATATTCACTCTTAGGAATTCTTTCCCTCTGGCCTGAAATCCTTAATCTTCAGCAGTAATGAGATAGCACACCAGATTATGACTTGGGAGATAAGTGGCTAGGATCCTGAGTAATTTAGAGACATTCCATGCCCCTGTATCGCTGTCTGTTAGACAGAAATAATCAAACTTGACTAATTCACCTCTAATGATTAATGCAGATTTGCATTGCATTATCATATTTGTGTGCTTGATCTGATGAGCACTGGGTACTTTCTGTAAGCCCAAGACATCCTATCTGGATGTCACTTTTAAGATAGAGAAATTGTTACTCTAGCAGGGAAAAATAGGGAGAGATCCAGGTTGGGGGCAGAGATATAGAAAACATTCCAGTCTCCAGAGGTCAGATGTACATTTATGTATGAAGAGACCAGTGCTGCCCAAGGAGAAGAAGAAACCTCTCTCACCCTAGGAGCATAGGTAACCCTAAGGAGGCTTGCTCAGTGTGCACAGTTCTCTAGATGTGTCCTTAATGAGTAAGAATTTTTTTTAAATGATTTTATTTTTAGAATCTTGGATTTAGAGCTAAAAGTGACTTCTGAGTCCATCTAGTACAGACCTGCACAACTTGGCAGTAGGTAGGGGCCAAAATTAATATAGGCTAAACTTCTTTGGGCCACAGACAGGTTAGACTAGAAATACACTGACAATGATGGTTGGTTGCTGCAGGTCATGTGACAAACAGGAAAGAGTGCGCAGTGGCAACCCTACATTTTTCTCGGGCTCCCTGAAATCCTTTGCAAGCGGCCCACGGACTGTATGTTGTGCAGGCCTGATGTAGTATAATCCTCCAATTTTACACGTGAGGAAACTCTGGCCCATAGAGGTTAGGGGACTTGCCTAAAGTCACTCAGGTGGTAAGTGGCAGAGGTGAGCTTTGTGGCCAGCCCCTCTGTCTCCACAGCCAAATGCTCTTTCCATTGCACCACTCTGCCTCTTTTATGTCCAGTATAATTTCTCATGATTAACATAAATCATTAATTCTTTTTAATCTCAGTTTTATCTGTTATATAATATACTCACAAAATACTCAGGAGCAATTATTATATATAAATGTGGGGCCATTTGTTCTGTAGCCAGGTAGTTATTAAAAATGTTAGAGCCAAGCTTACCGTGAAGCACAGAATCCCCGCCCAAATAGCTTCAAATATTAAGAGATGGCCCATAGGCATTTAACCCTTGGGACTACAACCAACTTTGCTTGTTTTTTTTTAAATTTAGTACACCCCATTTCTGTGAAGAAGACAGACAAAAATATGAGTCTAGAAATACTGTTTCCATTGCTAGTATAGGTCTTTCTTTCAATTCAGTTCAACAGCCTGTGGTTTTTGTAAGATGCTATGCTAGGTATTGATAGAAATAGAAAAATGAATGAAACATTCTGCTTCCTCAAGTCACTTACAGTCTAGTAGGGGAGTCCATAAATGACTTCCAAAGAAATATAATTGGGAGAAGAATAGAAACTGCTGTGAGAGAGACTTCAAAGGAAGGAAGAATTTTTTGTGGCAGGGTGGGATCTGGGAAGGTTTTCCTAAGGTTGTTATGAAAATCAAGTGAGATAATAATTGTAAAGCACAGTGCCTGACACATAGTAAGTACAATGTAAATGTTAGCTATTGTTATTATTTGGAAAAGGTGGTTGGGGTTTTTGGAGGATTGAGCAGCATTTCAGAGGACAAGCATGCTGCAGAAACACAGTTCTAGCCATAAGGACCATGTGAACAAATGGATAGAGGCTAAGAGCATAGGATGTCTTTGGGAAATGGTAGATTCTCTGGTTTGACTGTTCTTTAGGGAAAGTGAAAAAGAGAAACCTGAGATACTGCTGGAAATGTTAGGTTAAAGCCAGATTATGAAGGGCATTAAATTCTTAAGAAATCTAGAATGTATATTGTAGGCACTTGGAATCATTTAACTTCTTGGTTGGTGAAGTATCATCAGCGTCTTGATTGGTGAAGCATCATGATTAGAACTTCAGTAGGAAGATTAACTTAGGAGAAATATTAGATGGGTTGGATAGAGGAGAGACAAGAGCCATAGACAGTTAGAAGACTGTTATAGTCCAGGCCAGAAAGAGATAATGAATAGAGGTTTGAATTGGGGTGGTACCAGTAGGACTTGAGAGGACTGAATAAATCCAAAGGATGTCAAAGAATTAGAATGGATTGGACTTGCAAATTGTCTGAATGTGAGGGGTAAGGAAAAGAGTGAAAGTAGTACCCTGATAGTTGGCATCTGCCATCTGGAACAGATGGTGGTACCATTAATTGAAACAGGGAAGTCAAAAGGAGGAATAGGCTTTGGCAAGTTGAGTGCCATTCTGGACATGATGAATTTGTAATGTCAGTAGGGTATCCATGTTTAGTAAGCAGTTTGAGAATGTGGGTCTAGAGCTAAAAAAAGTTTAGTGTTAGAAATGATGGATTAAGAGACATGCACATAAAGTAATAATGGGATCCAACCAGGGGGAGATATGAGATCACCTAGAGCAAATGTAGAGAGAACAGTGACTTCTCTTTCCCTAAAGTTTAACTTCCTTGGGGCACTGTCTTCTAGGACCCTACTAAGAACATTTTAACAGCAGAAGTTCCAGGGTTCACAAAGTCTATGAATTTTAGGTGGTGCTGGTCCTGGAAAGGAGAAGCAGAAGCAGGAGAGGAAATCACAATATGAGGTCCCTAAAGTGTGTGATCCTACAGTATATTCAGAAAATCCTACAGTAAGCAGCTATTTACCTTTAAAGATGAGAACAAACACAAGCCCCAGTGCAATGTAATAGAGAATGAAGATGTGCTGTTACAGATGGATGGCAGGCTGTCCACTGGAAATGGTGTTTGAGAAATGATTATTCTAGCCAAAGAACCCATTATCAAGAGAGTATCTAATTTACAGTGTAGGAGGGCTGTATAAAAATGTGGGTACAATACTGATACTCATAAATAAAAACTTTAATATGGATGATTTAAAAAAAAACTTGCCCTCCCCAATTAATGAGTTAAAATTACTCTTAATGCAGTTTCATATTGAAATTATGACTGTTTTTTATAAAAAGAGGAATGCCATTCAGATAAAAACATGCAAATTAAAATTTAGCGCCAGAGGGAGAGGGAAAGAGATATTGCATAGCTGAGAAACACAGATGAAATCGAATATTGTTGTTATGGAAACAAAATAAGTGATAAAACCATACATTAGGACCTATAAAAGATAGAAATGCCCAATCTTCTACAAAGAACCTACAGTAATTAAATACTTTTTTTGTACCTAATGCAAACATAATAGTAATTTTATGCAGTTAGTGTTAAAATAGCATTCCTTACTGATTATATTAAAACAATAACTGCATTTACTTATGTAATAACATATTGTTTAGATTTAGAGTTGCCATGTTGCTATTTTAAAGTAATCTCATCAAATATGATAAAATCATTTTCTCAAAAGAAGAGCTTTTCAAAAAAGGACATGGAGACTCACCTTCTAGCTTGCCTACTACTCTGATGCCATTTTATTTCAATCCATGTTCCAGGAATATTTGAATGGCATTTGCTCAGAAATCTACATCCTGATGCATCCCCATGAAAAATTTACCTTCACAACTATGTAGATTTATTCATAATTGTAAAAGTTATGAAGAAATGTAAGTGTTCTAGATCGCAATCAGAGATATGTCCATTTGTACTGAGACAGTTAAGTTATTCCTATATGGAAGGAAAGAACAAAATCAAGATGATGCTAAGTAAGAAGTGGGTAGTGGACATGCATCATTACTTTAAAGAATGTATGGTTTTCATTATCATGAGTACTTCTTCCAATAAAGCAAATCATGAGTTTTTCTTCATTGACTTTCATGAGTATGCTGTGACCAGATTTAACATCTCCTGGTAGTGAATCCACCGTCTGAACCTTGGATGAAAGGGCCTATTATAGCTGTTTTTCAAAGACTTATGGCTTGGTAGAACTTACTAGATTTTACTTTCTGCAGGCTTGCATTTGAGTACATAGGGTTACATCCAAGCCATGATGAAATACATGAGAGTAGGAATTAAATGGAAGGAAATAAAAATTAATGTAATATGACATACACAGAGTCAGCATGGCAGAGTGAATAGACTGCTAGATTTTGAACAAGATCGTTTTGGGGTCAAATTCTACTTTTGACACTAACTAGCTATACAAGTGTAACATCTGAGCTTCAAGCTACTCATTAGGACTTGTCTTCTAATTTATAGACAGACTGAGATCTGCATTGTTGGAAGGTGTTCCTACATCAATGAAATTGTAGCTCCTTGACTACTTAGGTATATGTACATTATACTTATATATCACACACACACATACACACACACACATATACACATCTGTATACATTGCTTGCCACTGTTTAGGTGATCAATTATTGAAATACGTTTATTCTACGAATGTAAGAGGTTCTTGTATTCATTGACCATGTGAATTTGATCAATATTTCTTTTGCCATTTTAAATTATCTTATCTTGTGAACAGAACACTACATGGCAAATTTTCAAGCATAGGCAACATTTTCCATATTATTCTGAGGGTTTTTTCCTGTTTTTTTTCTTTTTTTTCTTTTTTTTTGCTGAGATTTACTGAGTTTTCTTCCAAGACTGGATTAATAATTCTTGATTTGTGAAAGTTAAGATAAAGATATATGTGTCCCTCTTCACAAAGACTAAAATTAACCCTTTGTTTTGTCCAGTGCTTTATGTATTGTAGGCATTCATTGAATGTTATTCATCATCATACATCACTGTTTTCTTTCTCATTTTCTTTATCTTTTCTTTCCCATTATGGTTTATATCTGCCCTGAAAAGTTTGCATACCAGAATAGTGTACTACTTGATTTTCAAGTTAGTTTTAAATGTAGGATTGAAATGCAAATGTGACCTATTTATTGTCCTTTTTATTTCTTGAACTGTTTTTCCTACTTTTTTGTAGATAATTCTAACTAGGGCCCAACCATGAGGCCATCTGGATAAAAATGTTGAGAACTAAAAAAGGAAGGTGATTTTGTTTTAAATATTTTTCTTGGAAAGATGATGGTTTCTTCTTGACCGCCCTTCATGTTATAGTAGTAGCAGAAAAGTAGTGTAAAGAAAAACAAAATTCATTCTGCTTTCAGTGAATGGATTGAATGATTTTTTAATTAATCAAGCTCATTTTTTTTAAACTAATGTACTTGACAGCTTATATTTTTTTTTAATTCTTCCAGCAAAGAGAACCTTCTTCAAGACTGAGGTCCTGCAGCGTGACAGATGGAGTTGCTGAACAATCTCATCTACCACCGGTAAACTTAAAGCTAATTTTTAGTTGTTAGATACATTATAACTTATATAAAATCTTCCCTTATACCTGAAAAGCAGTTTTTCCTGGGCAGATAGATATTCTTAACCAAATGTGGGTATGCACATTTTTAAAAAATAAAAGAAAAAATTCACAAACCTATCTGTCACCAAAATACAGAAGCCTGCTTTTCTTCAATTACAGTCATACGTGAGGGGCACCAGCAACTCCCCTTTCTGCCTTCAAATTACCTTATTGTTAAGGTGAGGCATTTGGAATAAATGATCTCAACACTAAAAGCCCATGATCCTCTTAGCCCAATTTAATACCAATTCTTATTCATCTGCTTATAGTTTTTGACAAAAAGTAATTTACTGGCAATGCACATTAAGAATTTCTTTTAGTTTTAAAGAATTGCTTAGATTTTTTTTTAAAAAAAGTAGATATGGAGGAGGGGATATGCTCATGTGAACATGTGTTCTGAATAGACATTGTTATATATTACTTTCCGTGTTCCCTTTCCAAAAAAAATTATATCCATTATCTGAATTTTTTTAACCAAGAAGAACTCTTTTTTTTTCTTTTTTTTGGGGGGTAGGCAATGGGATTAAGTGACTTGCCCAGGGTCACACAGCTAGTAAGTGGCAAGTATCCTGAGGCTGGATTTCAACTCAGGTCATCCTGACTCCAGGGCTGGTGCTCTGTACCACCTAGCTTCCCCTGACCCATTATTTTTGACATGAATGAATATATTTTTGTCTTTGTAACCCCAACATCTAACATCAGTGTCTTCATATAGTAGGTGCTTAATAAAAGTTGTTTTGAATATGATTGAGGTAGAATTAGCAACATATAGTGTGTGTGTGTGTGTGTGTGTTTGTGTGTGTGTGTGTGTGTGTGTGTATGTGTATGTTTATACTTGAATTGCCTTGGGGAGTTATTTTGAGTAAGCATGAAAATAGTATGGTGCATGCAGATTTCTGCTGAAGTTAAAGTTTAATCTTTTTAATTTGTTATTTGGCCCTAAGAGAGTTTTTTTTTATACCAAACAAAAACATTATAATCTTCTGATTTTATTAAACTTGAATGAGTTCTAATACAGAAATATGAGCAATTCTGAATCTATAAAGGATGTCTTCTATTGACACATGTATTTTATGGAATTCATTAGAAATGTTTTTTAAGTAGTCCATTCACCAAAATAACAAATAATTGGCTTCACTCTTTATAGCTCCTAACTGGTGATCTGTACTCTTTGTCAGAGATTATTAACCTGTGCTCGCTGTTCTTTATTGACCTATAATTGATTCCATACAATTAAATTTGCTTTGTTCACTGTATGTTTGTTTTTGGGTCAGTTTTAATTGATTTTCGAGTCCAGAATAGACACACACACACACACACACACTCACACTCACACTGAAATAGTGACCCAGTGAAATGAAATGGCCATAATAGCAGATTAACTAGTGGCTTAAACCTCATTTGGTGAAGGATGATGAGACTGGTAAGAATACAACAGGGTGGACAAATATCTTTCTGGAATGATTTGGGCATAGGCTTGCTTTGGTGAACTTTGATGAATTCTTGGGGTTCTTTTCAACCAAATAATCCTTTGATTCTCTTTAATGAATTAACGATTCTTCTTTTCCTGTTGTAAGATCAAAGTATATTTTATTTTTGAAAAGCCTCACCTTCCTGGAAGCTGCTGTTGGGGGACTTCAAGTATACCTATACACTTGATACTTTTCTCTGCTTTCTCAAGCTCTGTACTCACTGATCATCAGTGGCCAAATACTAATAATGTTGGGACAAAGAATTCATTAATCCTTTCTGGTGGGAACTAAGAGCATTAAAAAAGAAGAATTCTTTGGAGGTAGTTGTTTGTTTAAAGGAAAAAATGAAACAACTCCATTCTGATGGAGTCATCAGTTGGGAATTTATTCATCAATACAAAAACACTATCTGCTTAGTTCTGTTTTGTTTTTGGTCATTTAAAGAGGGAAAAATTCACATTCCTCTTTCTCCACTAGTTATCAGTGATTGCTAGCTTGAATTTGCTTCTGGACAGGATTGATTTAACAGGATTCTGATATCAGGGGTTAACTGTCTCAGTGGCCCACATATACCTGTGATTCCTGATTCTTGGAATATGAGAATCCCCTATCTGAACATTTTTAACTGACTGAAACTATGATTTAACAGCAGAGTGCCCCAACTAGGAGAGCCCGTTCATCAACTGTCACTGGTGGTGAAGAACCAACGGTAATGCTATTTATCAGACACTAGCTACAAGTCTATTTGGGTTGGTTTTAATGTTTTGTATTGGGGTTGATTTTCTTTTGCCTTTTTAAACAATATTGACTTCAGTGTGCTCTTAAAATGCATATGCTTCTTATTTTTAATCCTTTGATTGACTAAATAAACCTATTCTGTCTTTAGCAAAATATAAGGTACTGTGATGCTAGGAATTTTGATTACCTTTCCATGCAACTACTCTCACTGTTTTAAAAAAATGACCATTTACTGTATCTTTATCTATTACTTTTTTTGTTGTTGTTTTTAGAGGGTTTTTGTTGTTGGATGGTTTTTTCTTTTTCATACAATTCCAATCTAATCTAGTGCCTGGCATTACTGTGTGTACTTAGTCAATATTTATTGATCTGATAATTCATCAGTGGAACTATAAATATGGAATCAGAACTTATATGGCAAACTCTTATCCACATGAGTTTTTCTCTCTCAAATTTCTGGGTTGAAATCCCTTTACTACCTAATATGTCTGTAGAAGAACTTGTTCTGACATAAGTTGTGTATTTGAGGAACACAGATTAGTTTTACCTATGAGATGTTAATGATTGGAACAACAGTGAAGTTGAATTATTAATATTCAAAGCTCACAATTTGGAAGAAAAAATTGTCAGTCAGATCAAAATAATTTATGGTGTCAAGTTCCAAACAATTTAGGAGAGATCTATATCATGAAGGAGAGAGAGAGAGAGAGAGAGAGAGAGAGAGAGAGAGAGAGAGAGAAGTCATCAGTGCATGGGCAGCCTGCTGCTTCTCAGTAGTTCTGTTGTTTTCCTCTTACAGTTGATCCTGGTTTTCCTGATGTGAATCTTGCCCAGTTTACATGCTATATATCTTGAGATGAGTGTAGCTATGTAGTTGAGATTGACTTTAGGTCACATTTTGAAATAATTTTAATGAAAATTAGTATCAGCCAGCAATATCCATTTCTTACTTGACTTTGGAAATCCCTTGTCATTGTTTGAATAGCACTATCATACCGGATTGCACTGAACAATAAATATATGTGAAGAACTGACATGCTAGAGTTTAAGTGGTAACACTTGGCAAACTAATCAAAGCAAAGAAGTATCCTGTGGGTGATTATACAGGAGTTAAACCTCTCATTCTTTCTTGATTTGACCCCTGGTGACCCATTAGACCCTGGTAAGGAAAAGGGTGAGATTTGTGTGGGTACCACTGTTTATATAAAGACTACAGTAGAGTGGTCAAGCAATTTGAAAAAAAAAAAACAAATAATGTTTTACCCACATGCTATTTGAATTCTTGTCCATGAATAGTTTCCATTTACCCAGAACCTAAACATGACAAATATTGCATTTGTTATCAACTTAAATGACGTGTTCATAGGAGACAATCCATTTAACTATTTATGTACACAAATTATCTTTTTTTTTTTAGTTTTTCTTTTAGGCAATTGGGGTTAAGTGACTTGCCCAGGGTCACACAGCTAGTAAGTGTCAAGTGTTTGGTCTGAGGCCAGATTTGAACTCAGGTCCCCCTAATTTCAGGGCCAGTGCTCTATCCACTGTGCCACCTAGCTGCCCCTACAAATTATCTTTTTAATATTCATGTTTTAACCTGTCTACGATTCATATATTCATACTATCTTTCATGTTCCTTTTTTCACTTATTCCACTTACTCCATTTGTCAGCGTAGTCCATGTAGTTGTCATTTGCAGTCACTAAATAGTGTTCCATACTGTTGTACCATAGTCTGCATAGATACCACTATTATAGAGGATGCAGATTGTTTCCAGATTTTTTAATACTGTTTTTAAAACATACCTTTTGCCCTACTTAAATACATTTATAAGGCTGCCATGTCTGTGTTTTAACCAGAATGTAATATTTTTCATGTCCAAAACGAGGATATATACTGTAACAATCTCTAGCACCTCACTTGTCCCAGCAGTGGAGTCCCAAAGTAATTTTTCTCTCTTTAATAGCTTTGTCACTAGCAGATAGTTGCTAAACCTCATTATCAGACTAGGAAAAAACTTGCTGATGTCTGTTTCTTGGAAGTGGGAGAGAGCTCTTGAAGCAAAGCGTGTAGACCAACAAAAACATTGTACCTGTTTTCCTAAAACCTATAGTGTAGTGGAAAGAGTATTGACCTTGGAGTCTGGAAAGTTCTAAAGTTGAGCCTTGGTTAAATTTATCTCTCTCTGCTTCAATTTTCTATCTGTAAAATGGGCTAAATAATAATTCTGCCACCTACCTCACAGCATTGTTGTTATTATCAAATGACATAATATATTTCATTATCATAAAGCACTATATCAACAGAAATTGACGCTTCACATTAAAAAATACTTCCTTTGAGAGTATCAGATCTGTTTTTCCCTCTTTCAATTATTTTCTTTTTTAAAGTTCATTACTCTTATTAATATTTATTCAAAATAAAAAGGGCAAAAGGAACCCTTATACCTACATAGCTAAATTGTTTTGATTTGTGGGCAAGACACAATCTTTAGTAATGTCATTTTACGACATAGAACCTTTCTATGAGATAATCGAAACGATTATTCTAAACATATGCTCTCTTATGTTTCTAAAGTGCTTCATGATCTTTCAGAATGCTTTTGGTCAGTCAATAAACGTTTATTGCTTACTATATTCTGGGCGTTGTGGATGTAAAAAGCTGTAAAAGATAGTCCCTGCCCCAAAGAAGTTCACAATGTAATGGGAGAGAAGATAGAATTTCTGCTTTGGAGTGGAAAAAAGGAAACATACATTTATTAATCTCCTATTATGTGCCAGGCCCTGTATTAAATACTTTATAAATATTAGCTCATTTGATCCTCACAACAGCCCTAAGAAGTAGGTAGTCTTATCTGCATTTTATAGTCGAGGAAACTGAGATAAATAGAGGTTAAGAGACTTGCCCAGAGTCACACAGCTAGAAAGTGTCTGTAGCTGTAGTTGAACTCAGATATTCCTCACTCCAGGCCCAGCATTTTATCCACTTTACCACCTAGCTTGCGGAAACAAGCTCACTGCAATTCTGGGAAGTAGAGATTGATTTTGTTTATTTTGTTCACATCAGCTAATTGAATTTCAAAGAAGTTTATGTCGTTTGACCAGTTAAATTGGTGAAGCTGAGTGCAGATCGCAGGTCTTTTAACTTCTTGTCTAGAGAGGCAGCATGTAATTGTGGATAGAATACTATCTTTGGAGTCAGGAAGACTTTAATTCAAATCTTTGACTGAATTTGAGACCCTGAGTAAGTCACCTTCCTCAGCCTCAGAATCTTTGCATAAAAAATAGGAATAATAATAGCACCTATACACAGGGATTGCTGTGAGAAGCAAATGAATTCATAAAGTATGTTACCGACCTTAATGTGCTCTATAAATGAGCATTCCTATTATTATTACACCATGGCACTATATGAGAGAAACAGACAGGTATTTTATCCTGCTGTGCGTGTGTAAGATGCTAGAATTTGCTTGGATGCCCGAAATGTAACAATGTGCTGGCACTTGACCCAACCTTGAAAATTTTCTGATGTGGTCAAGTAAGGACCTTAGACTTGTAAGTTTAAAAGGATTTTAAAGATCACCTCATCTAACCCCGTCATTTTACAAATGAAGAAAATAAGATTCAGAGAAATCACACTGACTTGCCTAAGAGCATGATCGGAATCTGGGCTAGTGTTCACACTCTTTCAGCATCCATTATACCAATATCTTCTTTTGGGAGCATATTGTAACTTTTATTGTTTTATATCATAATTGAGTTTTTTTTTTTCATTTTGCCTAAATTCAACTATTATGCAATTGTAATTGATGGATATGTGGCATTATCAAGCATAATAGTGAAGTATTCAGCTTGAGAGATGGAAAAATTATGAAATACTATATTGAAATCTGTTAATACTTGTTAACTTCCTTCTCAAGGATCATTTGGGGAAGTAGCTTATGAATAACAGAAGGATGAAACGTTAGCAATCATTTTGTCAAATGACGGCAACTATTCTTGCACTTATTCTACCTTTCCTGGCTTGGTTTAAAGTCTGAATCATGCATTCTTATTGACTATCTTGTGGGGAGATTATCACATGGGTTTGTGTTCTGGGTTGGCATCACAGGCTTACCCATTTCAAAGATAGCCAATTATTTCAGGAACATCATTTAATTTAAAGGAGTTAGACTCTCCAGCTTCATTTCACATCATTAGGAATATTGAGCATTTTATTAAAGGTCAGTGTTTCCAACTATCCTTTGATTTCATGCACTTTAAAATACTATATAAATATGGATTGTTATTTGTTATTCTCCGGGGGGGGGAGGGGAGAAGTCCATAAGTAACATTGTCTCATTGACTAGTCTTGTGGCTAGATTACTGAACCAGGCATCCTTAATTCATCTTCCGGTTCTGATAAAGTCAGTCAAGTGTCATAAAAAGAGTACTTGTCGTGGAATTTCAGAATCTGGGGATTTGAGTCTAAGCTCTAAGACTTCCTAAACGTGTGACTGTGGGCAAGCCATTTCATCTCCTTATCTGTAAAGTGGAGATGATTATAATCATGTTTCTTAACCTTACAATGGTGCCCAAAGTGCTGTTAATCTCACAGCCATTTGAACTCTTAGTAGTTGTTACCACTATTGTTACAGCTGCCCAAGCTATTCAAGTTACTGTATTTTTGTGCAAATTCATTTCATCAACAAACTCATTATAACTTTCACTAATCATTTAATGGATCCTTTGTGACTAGAGGCAGATCACTTCACCTCTTTTAGTTTCTTCATCTGTAAAATGAGTTGAGGGTGGACTCAATGACATCAGAGGTCCATTCCAGCTCTAAATCTTTCGTCTCATGATCACATATCCTTTGCCAGGCTATCAAAAGGACTAAAAAAACTCCCTCATAATTCAAAAAGAGTTTTATGAGAGCATATCACATTGCCTTTCCTTCTCCAATGCAGTGCTTTAGAGGAAAAGATGCCCAGCCAACAAATAATTTTATCAGTGCGACTCAGCCAGTTTTTGCTTTACTCCACTTAGCTAAAAACATTTTCAATGTGATTGATCCAGTAGGTTAAGACTCTACCACCTGTACATGCTGTGCGCTTAGTTAAGTCAGAATACATTCAAATTAATATGCCCACTAAAAAATAAAGTAGGGCTGCCATAGTTTACAAGAATCACGTCTACTAATCCTCATTATGTGTATCGTCCTTCTTTAGGAAGAATTTACAAGATCAAAATTTGCTGTGGTCCACAGAGTTATTCTTTTGGATCGAATTCCTTTTTGTCCCAACAGTTTCTGTCAGGACTAGAGAACAAGGCAGTGAAATTTTAAAGCTTTAATACTTAATGGTTTTCAACAGGTGACAGAGGATGAAGTTTACATGGATACTCTTCATTTTCATGCAATGTCATTGCTCTTATCATTGTCAAAATAGTTTTCACTGGATCTGTAATCTTACCATGTGTTAGCTGCCCCATGGGGCAAATTAATTCCCATTTGGAACATACTATATAGTACATAAAGTGAAATCTGTGACCTCTTATAAAATGTTGCCGAAGTTACATGGCAGAACCCCCTTTTAATAGGATGCTATTTCCAGCAAGTACACTATGGTCACCCACCCACATGACACCAGCTTTCTGCATGCTGTTTTGCCAAAGCTTTTAGATTCTAAACTTAATATCAAAGCGAAAGAGATTAGAGTCATCAAAGAAAGAACTTGGATTACAAATATCTTTATTCTTTTTCCTTTTAAGATTAACAAGCATTTATTTTCTCTCACCCTTTTGTCCTCCTATACCCATTAAAAAAAGAATAAAAACCTTTAAACAAATATGTGTGTAGTTAAGCAAAACATTCCTATAATGATCACGTCCAGAAGTGTTTATGTCTCATTCTGTTTCATGAGCCCGTCACCTTTCTGGCAGAAATCAGGTAGCATGCTTCCATTATTGGCCCTCCACAATCTCGGTCATTGCATTGTTCAGAGTTCTTAAATCTTTCCAACTTGTTTGTCTTCACATTATTGCTCTTGGTCCTGCTCGCTTCAGTCTGCATCAGTTCATATAAGTCTTCTCAGGTACAAACATGTGAATAAAGAGGTCAGAAGAGCATCTATTCAAGTAAACGGTGGTCTAAGAGAAGTCCCTAATCAGGGAAGATAATAGTGAAAGATCAATCTCTTCTTCCAGCTTTATATGCAAAATAGCACAGGTATCATTTTGTTCTTCAGACCTGCCAAACCTTCCAAAGTTTTTTATGTACTTGTTTTCACTAGTCCTGTCCCACCAGAGAGGAGTACTTAAGCAGCTTATACAGGATACATTCTTCACATCTAGAACCATGGATTTAAGAGAAAAACTCTACTCAGATTTCCTTAGATCAGTCTCTCTTCTCAAACTGCTAAATAATTTCAACCTGTGGCAGCATCAAACCTTGAGAAATCCGAATCATGGCAGAGAAACCTTTTTCTGCTCTTTTCTATCCTTGCTTATACATTTGTGACTTTGTGTATAATCCTGGGAAAAGAGCCCTAAAATACAGTCAGTGTTGGAGGGGCTAGCGAAAGGCTGACACACTAATATCTTGTTGGTGGAGTTATGGATTAGTCTGACCATTCTGGAAGGAAGTTGGAATTGTGCTAATAAGTAATTAAAAATTCCATGTCCTTTGACTCAGAGATCCCATGGCCAGGAATATATGTCCCAAGAAGGTAAAAGACAGAAATAAAAGTCATACATAATACCAAAATGTTTATAGTGGCACTTTTCACAGTAGCAAAGAATTAGAAAATGAGCCCCTTTTTGTTAAATAAATACTTTCTTTTCTCTAAAAGGTTTTGTGTATTTAGGAGGTTCAGAAGGTAGAATTTTGGATTAATTTGAGAAGGATGAAGGGAACATTCCTATTGCAGTTATTTGGGGATATGTATTCTCTAAAGAAGAACTAGTCAGACACTAAGGCATTGCTTTAATCAAAGATGACATTTGTATTTTATTAGATTCTTTTGAAAAATTGTTCATGACCTCAATAGACTTTTATGACCAAGCAGTCTTTTATTATTATCATTTCCAGAGCAGTGGCTGTGTATATTCAATAGATTTTAGGGCCTACAAACTATGCTCTTTCTTGTACTTGGTTCCTATAGTTGTAATCACGTAGTGATATTGCATACCTACGGGATAAGTGACTGGCAGCTTTATGTTTTGAAGATAATCCCTTTTAAAAGTTCTCCTATGGGTTTTTTCCTAAAAATAATGTTAACATGCTATGTTAAAGGGAAAGGATTCTCAAGGTGGAAATGACTTTATAAAGCTGTTCACAGAATTATTGCAAAGCATAAAATAATGCTGGTTTCTTGCATAAACAGCCATCAGTGGCCTATGTACATACTACGCCGGGCCTCCCTTCAGGCTGGGAAGAAAGGAAAGATGCTAAGGGACGTACATACTATGTCAATCATAACAATCGAACTACAACTTGGACTCGGCCCATTATGCAGGTATGAAGACTCTGTCCAACTTACAGTGGCAGGCAATAGAATTTGAAAATATGGCCCATTTTATTGTTTTTCAAAATTCATCCATTCTACCAGAGTCATGAAAAAAGTTACATTCCACCAAATATGGTATAGATTTGAGTACAGTGTTTGCCTGCAGAAACATTTCTTCTTTAGTGCCCAAGAAGAAATATAATTGGGTATATTTTTAGAATTTTAGAAGGAGATTTTTCAAAATAATAATAGTCCATTATAATGTGTTGCTAACATCTTTTTTGGTAGCTGAAGATAGTTTTGATTCTGGGGAAATGATTCACTTATATTCGCCTTGATAGTATTCCCCTGCCCCTTCTCCCCATTATTATTATGTTTAATTATTTTCTCTAAGATTTAAATATGTCAGACCTTTCATTGTTGTTATTGTTGTTGCTGTTGTGGTTGTTTGGGGGTTGCACAGCCTAATCAGAGACAGAAGAAGATCCTCACATTTAGCTAACTTGTTTTTGCCTCTAAAATAGCTTGCCGAAGATGGTGCATCTGGATCAGCTTCCAACAGTAACAACCATCTAAGTGAGCCCCAGATCCGCCGGCCTCGTAGCCTCAGTTCGCCCACAGTAACTTTATCTGCGCCGCTGGAGGTGAGAAGTCTGTCTCATCTAACCAAGGATCACTTCTCTCCCGTGACTTCTCTCTCATTCTTTCTCTCGTCTCTTAACTCTGACTCCAGTTTGCAGCCCCCTTCTCCCTTTCTCCATGGTCTGTTGTTTCCCTTCATAGCAAAGGTGTTCTTCTTGCAGCTTTTCTACATGCTTCTCTGTTTTGCCTAGCAACATCCTTTGATTCCTGTCACTTAATTCTCATACTCATTTTGCTGGGCTCTTGGTGAGTTGTGAGTTTTTCCATCTTGGTTGGGACCTCTGCCATCATTACTGTGTTTTCCTACTATCTACTGTGGACTCTCACCTAATTTCATTTTATAAACCTTCCAAAGGCTTCTGTTTGAGCTTTACAGTGTAGTTGTTGCTTTCATCACTAGGAAAGGTTGGGATTGTCATTGTATCTGCATTCATGTTTTTGAAGCAAAGATTCTGGCATAGGTATTGGTTGTTCATATAGTCTACAAATCATGGCTGGGCATTCAGCTTGTGCTATCATTTGTGTTGTTTACAACATTGTTTCTTAGGTATCATGATTGTCATAAGAAAATAAATGAGTGGAAAAAACAATCCTTTCAAGGCCTTGAACAGTTACAGTATTGGGAGAATAATTGTGTGTCACTTAAATCAAGGGATTCTTGATGCCTCATGCTTAAATTGTATGCAGACGATGAAAAAAAACCACATCATATAATAGAACAAGCTTCCTCAAAACTAGAGCTTAATTCTTAAAGTTCATGTTTATTATGTTGCACAAAAGCCACAAGACAGTAAAGTGTTTTCCTCCAATAAACAAGTTTTACATTTTGTCCTTGTAAAGATCATAAGCACCTTCCCCGTTAGATTGTGAGCTCTTAAGGGCAGGAACCAACATTCTTTGTGGTCTGTGGAATCCTCACTGAGCTTAGCACAAAAACCCTATATTTCATTTGTGCTAAATAACTAATTGGTGGAGTTTATATTTGGAAGCATTCATTGATAGCCATGGAGAAATACTAAATTAACAAATATTAAAGTGAGGTTGAAAAAAGTGAGTTAAGGCAAATGTATAGATAGGAATAAATATTATTACTAAAAATATATGCCTACTTTTCATTCTTCTCCAGTGAGAAGCTTTCCATAAGCCCACTTGGGCTTATCTAAAATGGCAATGGAGGAGTTCTAATGGATATCATTATTCCATAGGGTGCCAAGGATTCACCCATACGTCGAGCTGTGAAGGACACTCTTTCCAATCCACAATCCCCACAGCCATCACCTTACAACTCTCCAAAACCACAGCACAAAGTTACGCAGAGCTTCCTTCCACCTGGCTGGGAAATGCGGATAGCTCCAAATGGCCGTCCATTCTTCATTGATCATAATACAAAGACTACCACATGGGTATGGTGAATTTGGTCTTTTTGCTTTTACTTTACTTGTTTTTATTTACCTACAGTTTATCTAAAGTATATCAGTCAGATAAAGATATTTTCTTCTTAAGATCTTTTATTGTTTTTTCCTTATTCTATTAATCTTCATATTGAAAACAAACAAATTGATTTAGTGAGCCTGAGTGATTCTCTGACTTTTGACTTGGGCTGTATTTAGGTCTGCCTGTTTCAATATTGCTGAAGGTTTAATCTTTTTAATATCAAAAGACATCTTAAAAATCACGTGGGTATTTTTCAATTAAATCTAAGATTCTGTGCCCAAAAACTGAGTTAGTGCATCGTCTTTGAAACTGGCATTTTTGCATTGAATACGACTTCCAGATTTAGATTGGGTGCTAAGTTTTGTCATTTCTCATTTCAGAATAAAACTTGCTGTTCCATTCTATTTTTTGAAAAAGACTTATATGTTTAAAAAGGCATGTGTGGCATTCAATCATTTTCAGTCATGTTTGATTCTTCGTTACCCCATTTGGGGTTTTTTTGGCAAAGTTACTGGAGTGGTTTGCCATTTCCTTCTCCAGCTCATTTTATAAGGAGGAAATGGAAGCAAACAGGGTTAAGTGACTTGCCCAAAGTCACACAGCTAGTAAGTTGTCTGAGGTCAGATTTGAATTCAGATCCTCCAATTTCTGCTAGGTTTTGAAATTGCAGTAGGGCTGGCACTCTATTTACTGAGTCACCTAGGGGCAACCTAGCTGCCCTTAAAAAGGGGATGGATGGATAGATAGATAGATAGATAGATAGATATTGTGTCCTTTTAAAAACGACTCAGGATTTAAAACACTACCTGTAAAATCTAGTTTTAAATGTTAGCTCTTAATCCTTTTTTTGTTTGTTTGTTTGCCCAAGGTCACACAGCTGGTGAGTGTTATGTGTCTGAGGTCAGATTTGAACTCAGGTCCTCCTGACTCTGGGCCAGTGCTCTATCCACTGCACCACCTAGCTGCCCCAAAATCTAGTTTTAGTCACTTAGATTCTGCCTCAGTTGTCCTCATCTACAAAATGGCATTGTAGGCCTGTATCATCTTTTTTTTGTTTTTTGTTTTTCTGTTATTTTTAAAGAACAAAAATTGATCAGGTAGTTGAGGTTTAAATTAGGTCTTAAACTCTCTTGAGAAGTTGACTTAATTTTTAACAAATGATGTAAGTGTGTGTGTGTGTGTGTGTGTGTGTGTGTGTGTGTGTGTGTGTGTGTTTGCTCGGTTCTCTGGATAGCTTTCTCCTTATAAATATTTTTACTCACTTGTGTACCTATCTGTGTTAGAAAAAGCAACTTGTAAAATACAATTAAGAATATTGATCTAAAATAAATTATAAGAATTGTAAATACATACATACACACTTATATATACATGTAAAATACTTTGAAATCTCTTTTAAGTAGGCTTTGCAGATAAAGCATTTATTTTTACCAATATTGCAGATTTATGTAATGCCTTTTTCCTACCAAACCTAAAATCTAAAGCAAAGTGAAAAAATACACTTTCTACTGCTATCTTAAAAAAAAACCTCATTATGTGGACAATTCCTTTCATAGTTATAAATAATTTGGACTTTGTTATGTTAACATAACATATGCAGTTTTCTTTTCAGGCTGCGCAGTTCCATTTACTGTTGAACTACTATAATTTCAAAACCTAACTAGAAATTGGAGCTCTAGAAATAGGGGAGAATGTATAAAAAGGGATGGATTAGTATACAGAGCCACTGTGGCCTGCCAATATAAGCTATGATTTTAGTAATTTGAGCTGGCCTAGTAATGAAATCCTCTAACTTTTCACAGACTTTCACATCACTAGCTCAATGTAATTGCTGCTGTGTGGATTTAATTTTAAGTAGCTTGAGCTTTGTTTGTTACATGTATTGGTGCTGAGTGAAGCAGTTTTATCTTCTGTGTCTAGTTTTCTGCCCAGATAGAAATATTTGACATATTTGCTAATTTACACATTTTAAAATAGGTTTTTTGTTTTTGAGAAAGTTGATTTTGTGGTATTGTTTGGACATTTTCTAGTTAACAACTGGCAATTCCACAAGCCTCTTCCCCTCTTGTTTAGAATCAGGAGTATTCCCTGACACAGCTGCATTATGACTTTGAAACAAAAACCTATACACAGGCTCTCACTGTGGATGGACAGGGCTGCCTTGTATGTTTATTTTAACAGGGGTTGTGGGGGTGGAGGGTGCCTGTTGGGAAGATCATTTTCAGGCTGTAGTCTGGTTTTTTTTTTATTTTACAGAGAAAAAGCACAGTTATTCTTATATTTTGACCAATATTATTGGTTAAGAATATTGGGGGAGGGTAGAGAGAATCTCAACTTCCGCATTGTCATGGCCACTGAACTTCTTAAAGATTCAACAGTAACCTGCCAAGAGCAACCAAAACAAAGATGAAACCAAAACTTTACCAGGCAAATTAACTTTCTGTTAGAATATGCAAAACAAAGAAATTCTGCCAATCAGCATAGAATGAAGAGGTGTAAGATAATTGGTATGAAGTATTAAGCATCAGGGGACTGTTGCCTTGTTTTGTAGAATGTGCTCACCTCATTTGTTCATTAGCCTGTGGCTAATGGAGCCCAGATTGAGAGTTCAATGCCCTTTGCAGGCCAGTGATGTCAAAATACAGAGAGCTGAAGTGCCAACCCAGAGATCTCTCACAAAAGCTCGCCAGTACTCACAAAGGTAGAAGACAAAAGAGACTGTAGCCTTCTGCATTCCAGTCCTCATTGTTGCAGTAATAATCATTGGGTTGCCTACTTGTATTATTTCACTGGATACACAGCTGGTGGCCTATTTTCAGAGTATGAAGGACTCCTATCTTTATTAAATTAAATCGATAGTCCCAAACTTATTTATTCTTAAGGACTTTATCTAAAGCACTTGCATTTAGGACGAAGGACATCAGAGAGATCATTTGGTGGCAAAGGCCACATAATTAGAGGGTTTGTAGCCTAACTCTACTGTTTAGTATCTATGGCATAAGCCAATTCACCTCAAGGCCTTAGTTTACATTTAGAAAATGAGAAAGTTGGACTAGATGATATTTGAGGTTCCCTCCAATACTAAATCTTTTTTTTTAGTTTAACCCTTTCATTAAACAAATTAGAAAACTGAGGCCCAGGAAATCCAATCGGCTTACCCTTACTTCACACAAATGGAAAGAAGTAGAGCTAAAACTGGAATTCAGGTCTTCTGACTCCAAATACAATGCTCTTTTCCCTTCAGGATTTTACTCTGTTTGAATCTAAATCAATGAGATGTGGCATATTCAAGACCTAGTCTAGGCATTCTCTTAAATATGGAAGGGATATTTAAGAAGTATTGAATTTTCTTATGTGTGATTATATATTTAGAACCGAGAGAGACTTTTGAGGCCATTAAATCCAACCCTCTTATTTTACAGATAAGTCATTTTACAGGTAAGTTAAATGTCTTAACAGGAGTCACACAGGTAGTAAAATCAGAGATGGGATTTGAACCCATCAGAGGATTCAGAGGGGCAGCTAGGTGGTACAGTGGGTAGAGTGCCAGGCTGGGAGTACAAATCCCGCCTCATCAGTACAAATCCAACCTCAGACACTTCCTAGCTGTGTAATCCTGTGCAAGTCACTTAACCCTGTTTGCTTCAGTTCCTCAACTGTAAAATGAGCCAGAGAATGAAATGGTAATCTACTCCAGTATCTTTGCTAACAAAACCCAGATGGGGTCACAAAGAGTTGGACACGACCAAAAACAACTGAACAACAAAAAGCTTCCCATTGCAGAGCCAATTTTTCTTTCGATTAGCCATGGTTCCCATATCTCATAACTTTTGTAATTATTTCATTATAAAAAGGAAACATTTTTTATGGGTATGAGTGTATACTTATTTACTGCTTTAAAGCATTTATAACTAGTTGGGGAAACAGAGAAAAGAATAGTGAGTGAATAATTTTTATTGTGACAGGTGAGAAAGAAACAAACTCATCATTCCTTTTAATGAGATGATTTTTAAAGTATGCCAAGTCAATAAAAACCTTTCTTCAACCTCATATAGCATTTGTTTGTTATCTCTCGGATGCCTTTCTTATATAATATTATGATCTGTATTTTTATCATATACCCTTACTAGACAATGAACTGCTTGAGGGATGGTGTTGTTTCTTACCTAAATCTTGTATCTACCCAGTCCCTAGCACATTTCTCTACACACATTATGTACTTAATAAATGTTTATTGGATTAATTATTCCATGGTGTTTCCCTACAAAATGAAAGATACAGATGCAAATATTTATGATAAAATAGCCGATTTATGGGCACATATCAATGTTTTTTGCTTTGCTGCTTCTTGAGAAGAGTCTGATAATCATTTCTTTAATTTTATTTCTTCAGCTTTCATTTCTTTGTAGTAGCCACCCCTTTTTGAAAGTATGTGATTAGGGGCAGCTAGGTGGCACAATGGATAGAGCACCGGCTCTGGAGCCAGGAGGACTTGAGTTCAAATGCGGACTCAGATACTTGACACTTATTAGCTGTCTGACCCAGGGCAAGTCACTTAACCCCAATGCCTAGCCAAAAAAAAAAAAAGTACATGATTAGTTGTATTCCTAGAACTTGGGTGGCATTTCTTTATTCCCAGCATCCACTGACTCCATCGGGCTTCATGAATAGTTAACATATGTTGTAGTTAAATACATGATATAGTTAAGTGATTTATTTAGTGGGGAACACTAAGAGTCCAAAACATTAACGTTCTTGCTATAAATTAAACCAGAGGACAAAAGGTAGTTGAAGCTAGGGGCCAGGCTGTCCTTGGAGAGGCAAATAACAGATCTGACAGAGTTGATTTCACCATGAACCCAAAGGCTATAAGAAATGTCATTTAATGGAACACTTCACCATCTTGCCTTGCAGTGTTCATGACAGCATAATTTAAAAGACCACCGTGCAGGTAATTATATAGACTATG